TTTCAAACAAGAACATCAGTGAGAAATGAGCCAGAACTGGAAGTCTAATGTTTCTTAACTGGAACGTCAAGAGGCATGTGTAAATCCATGTTGCCTCAAGCACACGGAATACAAAAAGGAGATTCAAAGACTGGCACATGTCACCAGCTGGAAGCTACAAGACCTGCCCCTACAGCTCCCGAGGTTAGTTTTCATGTGTTTTTGAAAATGAGATCACTCCTGAGATAGCAACTACTGATATCAGTGAGCAAACACCTCTAATCCTAGCTAGCAACTCCTATTAACATGGTAATCTACTAAAGCTATGAAATACCTTCAATGAGTTAGGAAGCTAAAAATTAGGTTTTTCATGATTTATTCTATCCCTACAAAGCTAGCATAAAAGCCATAAAGGCTGCTGACATAGATCACTTAATAGCTAGATTGCTTCCTCTGTGAGGACCTAAGGACTCAGTTTCAATCCAACAAGTAATAGTTTTTTCCAACTTATCATTCCACAGATGAAATAAAAATCTCTGAAGATGGAGTGTGTACCTTCAATCGCCTGTAGCAAACAGCACAGAAAGGTGAAGGTATTTGAAACGGACCCCTCAAAACATCAGCTCTACACAGGTCCCAATACACATTCAAAGTTTTAGATGAGCCTATGGAATTAGCACGGGTGAAAAATAGCATCTTATGCTATAAACTTGAAATAGCCATTGGTGCAGTATTTGGAAGCTGACTAGGCAAGAGTCCTTTTTCCCATTCACAAGATATCAACCTGAAACAGTCACATAACGACAGTGTCACTGACTTATTTCCTTTCAGCTGCAAACAAACTGTAGTCAGACCTACTATTTATGACCCTGCTTCTGCAGCTGAAGTCACAACCAGATCACAGCAGAAACTGCACTGAAGAGCTCTTGTCACAGCCAGCTAGCAGAGCAAGTGCTAAGGAGCCAAAGCATTATCTGATTTCCCTGTTTTCACAGAATGATCTCAATGAGTAGATGAAACAACTCCAAGAAATACAAGGGGTTAGATTCATGAATAACTTCTCTAGTTCTGGAAGTTATGCCCTCAGTGTTACCAAAGTATGTAGACTTCTTGAAAGAACAAGTTAGCCCATGCAGAGATTGGTATCAATTACGTCTAGACAAGTGCCAGTATCCAAGTAGGTCCTGGTATGTCATTATCTACAAGACAAAAGCCTAAGGAGTTCTGTAAAGACAGCATCACTACAGCCTCAAAGCAACCAAGAATGAATAAAACCATGAAGTTTTCACCTATAGTGAAAAGAGATGTTCATCGTCATAAGTCATACACAATAGAAGTCTGAATGGGTGGTTGAAGATGTTGGGAGACAGTTTTGAGACATTTCTCCCTTCTCTGTGGGTCACAAATTTGGCAGTGGCAATTTGCCTGTCAAAGCACCCAGATATGCACAGCAGGAGACATTTGGCTACCAGTTTTCATGTGCCCTGATGCTGTCAGGTCCCCCTCCTCTACAGAGGGTGCAGGAGTTTGCAGCTCTAAGCACTATACATCAGCATAGAAACGAGCCGTCAGATGCTAGGTTCCCAGTGCTGGCCAAAAAACCATTCTATCTCCTTTGTGGCAAAGGTATAGAAGACAGCTGAATAGTCATCTTAAGATGCAAAACCAGCCTGAAAACTCAGTTGGATCATTTCCAGCTAAAAATAAGCCCATTATGGTTAATCCCAGGAACAAGAGTTTTTAAAGATCTGATTCTTTAGATATATGCCTGGGTTTCATTTGAAGACAATTTGCATCGTTTCAATTTTTTAAAACTATACGACCGCCTCGCATTTTATGCCTACAAGCAAAAAGTTTGAAGGATCCACAACTCAAGTCCTGCAAGCATTGACACCGTTCAAAATCAGAAGAAAATACAGGACAAGGGGCAGAAATTACCATCTTTAGAGAGAGTAAAGCAATAGACTGCTGTAGAGAGGTCAATGCTCTCCCTACTTAGGGCAAGGAAATTTAATGTTCACATTTTGTACTACCAACTAGAAACCATGAATCTAATAATTACTGACCTACTTAAAGCCAGCCACAGCCATCTTTTCCTGCAAAGTTAAGATTCATATAATCCAAGAATAATCTCGAAAAGCACAAATTAAAGTAAAAATATGAGCAGCTCTTTTGAGCCTCCTTGTACTCAGCAATTGCAGCAGACAGTAAAAGACAACAGCAAAAACCAGTGGTTTGTATCACAAACCAACTTCAAATGCGTTCACCTACCCCAAAGCAACTTGAAGAATCATGAAATGTTTACCGTAATTTTCTATCAACTGTTCAGTCTCTTCGCTATTATACACAATTTATTTGGGGGAGATTTCGCTGTAAGATGTGAAAGAAATAGGTCACGGAAAGAGGATCGCAAGCTCCAATCCTCTGGAAAAAAGTTGTAGCTAATACCCAGTTGGGTCATATTTTAGTAGGACTGAGTAAGCAGAAGCGGCACGTTTCCATTTGTTTCTGCAAAGAGAGCAAAGAGCACTCTTCAACTTTGTTGTTGCATCTCCCTGAATAAACAAGTTAAATGTAAATCATCAGGAATTGTAACAGACCTGTAGCTATACAGAAAAACAGGGAGTCACACAAGCTTCAGCCTCTATTCCCGCACTCTGCTCAACGGAAACGCTGAAGGATAACTAGCCCGGTTCACAAAGAGCTCCCTATTTGCATGCCATTACACATCCACGCCATTCCAGTTTCTCAGGACCCCAAATGGTGACCACTTCTCCAGCTCATTTTCTAAGGATGAGCTCAAAGAGGTTTGCGTTAGAGAATCTAGGAGCAGCATTCATACTATTCAACACAGTGCTGACTTCAAGCACCAGCTTAGTGTAGCTCAAGCTGTAGTAAAGCAACAAGAGTGATGAGAAAGTGCTGGCACCGGGGAAGAAATTCTCCTCCAATTCTGAAGAGGATGAAGAGCACAGGACTCTTGGCAGGCAGCAGCCAAGTCCAGCTCACTTTCTCTTGACATCTGCATTGGTTTTTTTTCTAGGTGATGTTACAACACAAGTATTGTCACAACATAACTTGGTAACATCACAAGATCTAAGTCCACAGCGTTGGAATTTATTCGTGCATATTTAAACAGGGCTGAATGGAGAAAGACATTGTTTTTTCCACTTGTTTCATCCAACTCCTGTTTCAAGCCAACTGCTTACTCTAAAAGTAGAAAAATTACCCAGCTATCAACATCGAAAAAATTTAACAATCTTAAAAAAGGAAAACTGCATCTGTTCAAACAAAATGCATGTTCAAGAGACCGTGAAAGCAAAGTCACCCTTTTTGCTCCCTCTCAACTACTCTGTACTCAGCAACCAATATTCTTCAACGCCAACCTCCTTAAAAAAAAAAAGCCTTTTTAGAGACAAGCCTTCAATGAGTTCAGAAGAAAAAAAACCCCACAACAATAATCAAACGTCTGTCCTGTATGCCTTACTGCTGGCACGAAAAATGGTAGGATGGATTCTCCGTCCATCTTAGATTGACATAAATAGTGCTGGAGATTTTCAGCTACATAAATCGTGCACTATTTGTGAAGCTTTGAAAGCATACTCTAAAAAAATGTTCCCGCCTGCGTGATTTTACCTTTTTTTGCCCATCTTATTTTGGGAGAACTTGTATATGATTTACAGTCTTTCCTTTCAAACCTAGGGTCCATGCATCTTTTGAATAAGGGAAGTTGCAAGCAGTTAAGCATCTGAAAGGAAGCTTTTTCTGGTTTTAATTATACCCTTCTACATTCCATGTGAAATATTCTTTCCATCTATATTTTATTCACATAGAGGTTTAAAGTGAATAAAGAGGCATTCCCGTACCTTGTTCTTTCCCCTTAAAATAAAAGGTCAGGGACAAGCCCTGTTTAAAGACACAGGAAGGCAAGATTAAGAGAAATACGAAGTTTAACCATACACATCTAAATTTTAGAACTAAAGCAGCAGTATTGAAAGAAACACAAAATTGGACGGAAATTTGTATTCTGGGGAAGAACAAGCATAGATTTCTGTCTCCGTCTGAAATTCAATGCTCAACTGAATGGAATCTGTACTGAGCCCTCAGAAACAGCTTTATTTAGGATACTACTCCAAGATAGGGATTTTCATAGCCTTTAGGTATACATCTTTCCCAGTAGAAGGGTAACATAGTTATTTGCTGACTGACTCAGTACATCCTCAAAAACTACAGCCTGTTAACTGATCACATGCACCCACTTAGCTGGTACTTAGTTTGAACTTTCAAGCAGGTTAAATCCAGTCAAAAAGACAATTTGACCCCCTAATTTGTAGCAGGCTAAAAGCACTTAAGCCATCAGTAACATATCTAACAGCATGCCTTAAAATGTTACTGTCTACCTTAATTGCTGGCAATTGAATGAACGACCAGCAAGTTAATGACGGTGAACCACTGACACCAGGATCGATACCCAAGAGATTCAGAGTGACAGGCAACCACAACATTTCTTTAAGTTTACTATCAGAAACTCAAAACGTTTGCCATCACATTCGTCTAAGCAAAACCCAGACTCACCAAGAAGCCTTTGCCACTGGACAGCTACTTCCAAAGCTGATCCTGCTTTCCAATTTCTTCCAGGGAAACTTTTAAACAGATGCTTGTCCCCGAATCTAGAGACACTACATGTTTGTTTCCTCTACTAAACCACCAGTCTTCTATGCAACTGGTGGGACTGTCCCCTCAGCAGATGTATTGCCAGAAGTAATCAGCTAAGGTTTATACTGCTGCCTGTTGATCAGCTCGTGAACCCCTTCTCATTTAAATGTCACGAGCCCGTAAAATCTCCACGCAGCCCCTCTTTTTGCCCTCAGTTGACCATCCCCATCATCAACCAAGCAAGTGATCTCTGCCAGTCATCACTAGAATGCCCGTACTAAAAGAATGGTTTAAAATCGTTGCTGAAGACACAACCCAGTGCCCCGCAGCAGTGCCATTACGGTGTGCAAAAGCAGGATACCGACCTTATGGCAGCCAGGATAGGTTGCCATGGTGTTGAGGGTAGAGGTGCTGGGATTCTTGCTGGTGCTGGCCATGATATTCTGGATTTGGGTGAGCTCTTGCCTCAGCACCTGCTTCTGGTGGAAGCTGAAAGCAGGGTGGTTGGACGCCATCGTGAAAAGCAGCAGGAACTCATCCCCTGTGCGGCCCTCATTGAGTTGTAGCCCATAGTTGTTGATGACCGAATCAAGGTGGGTGAGGGTACGGAAGAGGACCCCGCCCGCCTCTCGATGGGCAGACCCGAGCAGGGCGAGAGAGACCAAAAGTTTGCTGCGTACCACCTCGTCCGTCAGGTTGGTGAGGCTGCCCAGGTCGGCGGGGTTGTTGGCCTTGATTTCGGAGTCGCGCAGGGAGTGGTAGTCCTTGCGGGCCAAGTCCTCCAGGCAGGCTCCCAGGAAGCGCAGCTCCAGCGGGATGCAGAGGTCCAGGAGGCCGCAGAGGAACTCCACACGCTGCGGGGAGGGCAGCT